TATTCTAAAGTAATTATTTATTTGTTTTGACATTTATAATTAAATGTGTAGATAAATACATATTTATATTAAGAGAGTTATTATTTCCCCTATTTCCATTGCCTTAAATAATTTCCCAGGAATTATTATGTAAGAAATTTTTTTTACAAAAAATACAAAACAGATTGTGTTACGTTCATTGTTTTTGGTTGTAGTGTTTGTATATTTTTTTTTGTTTAGATTGATACAATTTTTGTTTTGTCTGCCTACATTGTGTGTTTTTTCTTATTTCTTCTGAGTGCTACTTTCAATTTATTTTACATCATAGCGAAGTAATGACATACAGCTATTAATTATATATATATATATATATATATATATATATATATATATATATATATATATATATATATATGCATATGTATATAATACACGTATATAGAACGTGTTAAAAATTCGGCGCCTATTTTTGCTCTTTTCGCTCCCCCTACAACGAAAACCTGGATACGCCTCTGAGTACATGGTATTCATGGTGGTTAATGAAATAGGGGCGCGATATTGGATAAAAGTATTAATGCGCTATCTCTAAGAGAAAATATCTAACCACACCTCTGCTTTCACTATGTCTAACTAAATATCCTCTTCTCTTTTACCTACGTATATCTCAAAATTTAAAAATATGCAAAATTTGTAATTTTAGCCCATTCTATCTTTACACCAGGGTCTGAAGGAAACAGTGACAACCAGTTTCAAGGCTTTATGTCTGGTTGATTTAGGTAACTTGCTGTCTCTTGTATGGGCTAGTGTGTGTTCGAATCAGTTTCCTCCAGGCATCCCTTCCGAACGAAATGGAATTTATATTGAAAATATTTACTTTTAACAGTGTCCGCCCCTCCCCAGAAAATTTCAATTGCTTCTTTGGTGGGTCTAATTATTTCTTCAAGCAAGAACAAATTTGTATTAGTCCCCATCTTGGTTTTTAAATATATTGTCGCTGTAATTTTCTAATTCTAGTTAATTCATAGTGAATTTAGAGTTATATTTTTGGACAAGAATTTTTTCTCCCACTTTACAGGTATGCTTCATGAAATGTTTCTACAATGTTCCTTCTGGATACGAGTCTACATCAACTTTGAAAGAAGTCTTTCTATTCTATTTCCCCTAAAAGTGAAGCTACTCTTAACAAAAACGAAAAAGTGTGTGGTGTTAGCGAGCTTTTATTTGGTTATGTTAGCATTTTTGTTTCAAATTTTGTTTTGCCAAAAGTCGGAATCGTATTTCTATACAAGAAAAAATGTGACAGCGACTAGCGTCGTTAAAGCTCAGGGTAGTGTGTGTAATTTAGAATTAAGTAACTTCTCTGCAAGAGTTATTCCTTGTATCCTTGAAGTCATCTTTAAAATCATCTTGATACGCCAGTTGCAGACGAAATCAAAATGGCGCTGCAAATGTTCTGCAGGATATTTGCAAATCGAGTTAAGTATTCGAGACTGCAGATTAAATAAAATGCTTGTTCTGATTTCGTTAATTTACCTAATGACGTCACTACCAGGCAGTGGCGTAGCGAGGTCGGGTGTCACCCGGTGCGGCACTTAATGGTGTCACCCCCCAGAGGCGTAGCGACCCTCCTCGGGGACAAACTTTCTAGTTTTCTATTTGCACCCCCCCTCAAACTTTCGATTTGCACCCCCCCCTCAAACTATTGATTTGCACCCCCCCCCCTCAAACTTTCGATTTGCACCCCCCTCGAGTTTTTCTCTATATATTTTGCTATTTTTAGCCTTGGTGTCACCCCCCTAAATGGTGTCACCCGGTGCGGTCCGCACCCCCGCCCCCCCCCCCCTCGCTACGCCCCTGACTTCACTACCAGTTGTCAGTGTCACATTGCTGAATACGTTGGTTTACACTGAGTATCCAAAGAACAAGAACCAGTACTTGGTGCTGGGGACGGTCAGAATGTCATTTGATGCGGCTGGAAGTTCTTTCAACATTTTCCTCTTGTACACCATGAGCGACAAATTCAAAAAGGCTTTTAAAGAACTTTTATGATTACAAAATTTAGGCAAACTTATACATTGTCAAATTGAACATTTATTTTTTTTTTATTTTGATAATCAATGAATTTTTTTTTAAATTATGTATTTATGTATAATAGAATTATACACTGTAAAACGATCATTACCATTTTAAAAACTACTACTATATACTGTAGAATGACTAGTAACATTTGAAAACTACTACTTCTTCTTCGTTCTAAATTTTAAGTGTTGAAAGTCTTATCTACCAGGGTTTTAACTCGAGACTTTATCGAATTTATCAACCATGAACTTTTGCCGACTCAACCATGCCTCCATCACAATTAAGGATACGTGTCAACTGGTTATGCGCCATTGAGGCCATTGACTCCGATTTCAGCCTGCTTTTCTTTTTGGATTTGCTTCTATAGCCTTTGGTCAACCAACGAGCCTCATTTGCCAGAGGGTTCGAACTCGAAACTTTTCAGTTTAGCAACCATGAGCTTTACCGACTCGACCACGCCGACCCCTTGAAATCTACTAAATCCTTACATTTTAAAACAAAAAGTAATATTTTTTTTATAAACATAAGCTTACAGTTTTAATTTTTTAAATATTTTATAAAAGATGTCTAAAATGAATAAAATGTGTACTGTTTCTGTTGTAGTTTTATGTTTTAGGTTGATACATTGAAATTTCGGTAAAAAAAAGAAACGAAATAATGCGCTGTCCCGCTTCTTCCTCGGTCCAACCAGTGTTTCTTCCAGACTTTTTTCTCCGGGGGGGGGGGGGGGCACTTGAAATCTTCGGGGGGGGGGCGGTAAACTTTCTTCGGGGGGGCGGACACTGTTAAAAGTATATATTTTCTATATAAATTATATAAATTTCATTTCGTTCGGGGGGCGGTAAAAAATTTTCGGGGGGGCTTCGCCCCCCCGAAGAGATGCCTGGAAGAAACTCTGGGTCCAACTCTCACCACCCTCCCCTACCGAGTTAGGTTTAGAAAGTAACAGTGTGGTTTTTTTTAATGACATTCTAAATGTTGAATGCCAGGTCATTGTGGGTTGTTATACCCCCCCCCCCAAACACACACACCTCCCACCGACACACGCTTGCTAAGCCACTGACATGTAATATGTTTATAATTCCATTTTAAGGGTGCATAAGAAAAATGTTTTTTTTTTAAATTCTTTTATATAAAGGGAAGTAGCTCGATACTAGCGTACAATATTTCTTGTTTACTTCCCCTTTTAATGTTTTTTTTTTAATTTCTTATTACTGTTTTTTTACCTCCCCTTTTAATGTTTTATGTTTACTCCCCCTTACCATGATTCTCTTCGTTTACAACAGCTATTATTTCTGATCGATGAGTAGATGTATTCTTTAGTCTGAAGTGAAAGAAAACACTTAGAGAAGCTTAACATTTAAAAATTGATTATAGTTATTAAAAGTTTATTTGTAAATCCAACTTGGGGAAGAGACCTTTATTTTTAATGTTATCAGCCATAAAATTATTATATTTGGGAAACAACTGTATTTTCACGTTCTGCTTTCAAACTAGCTGTTGAATGGTATGTATGTGTCTAGACAACTTTTTTTTTTAATGTTTTTAACAAATTTCTTAAACCTTATGTCAACACTTGTGATTAATATTTAGATTCCACTCTAATAAATGACCAGCAAATATTTCATTAGTCCACGTAAACAGGTAAAGTAAAACAAAGTACAGAATCCTCTTTAGACCTCGCAATCCATAGGGCAGATAAAGTAGAGTTCATGTTTCTTGACCTCGGCATATGAAGGGAAAGTGTGGTCAGCACTTAGCTCAGCAGGTAACATACAATAAAATATCACAACGTCTGTGCATTCATATATTTGTTTCAATCTCAATATATAGCTGTGTATTCTCATAGTAATTTAGGGGAGGAAGTCTGTAATGCCAACGGTCATATCATAATCCAGTTTGTTGTATTGTGAAGCCTCTCTGTAGGTCTACATCTTTTGACAGCTGTGCCTCAGGGCCGAGTGTACGGAAAAATAGATCTTGCACAAACAGTAATCCAAATTCTCTATATCAGAGTAACAGGAATGCAATCAACATTACATAACGTTGAAGAAACTTGAAAGGTTAAATGCATTTGTCTTTTAAAATATGTTCAAGCAAAGCAATGATTTATAAAAGTGTTATATCAATATAAACAAGAACTTTTAAAATGTTAATTCTCAAATTGTTACTAAATTGTTTTGAATGTAAAACTTATTAAGAAATATTGTCTTTTTACCGGATTATGAAAACTTCCAGAAGAGACCTTATAAATAGATACTGGTGGACTTCATCAGACAGTACTGACATCCTACACAATGCTGAGGACAAAACACGCCAGTCACCACCAACAGCAGAGGCACAAGAAAAATGTGGCTCAACATCCTAACACACAAAAAAAAAACAAGTTTCCACCAAGACTGAACCAGTCACCGTTATAAGAAGTCTAGTCTTTCTGTGCACAATCATTACGAACATGCCACCAGAGTGTGGCAGGGACCACAAAACTAATTGTCACTTTAATCCGGCTAAAAAAATTACCACCAAACTTTCAGTCTTATTGAATAGAGCAGATGTACATAGACTATACTAAAACTCTAAAAATACTAAATTAAAATAATTCTCCATATAATAAATCTGAAATATGAAACAGAAGTAAAGATGGAGTTCTTTTTTGTGAAATCAAAGTGTGAAAATGTTTATTCAAAACCTTTTAGAACTACATAGGTAGGATTCTATAAATAGCCTGATATGTTTATCTAGAAATAGAATTGCTCTCCTAAGTATACATTTGAGATTATTCTGTGTAGATTAAATCATTTCAGTGTTTAAGTAAGTCTAAATATAGATAGAGTTTTGGTTAATGGTATAATGTTAAAGGGGGAAAAACAGCATGTAAAATAAAAGAGAAAAACAAGGTTCAAAAAAAGGAAAAAAATATTTATTCCAATTTTTTTTTATCTAATATGTAGGATTAAATCACATTGCTTAAATATATTAAAATATCACATTTCTTTTACATCAAAGAAAACAGCATTTGTAATAACATCAATACATAAATCTTTTCTTTATCATCTTTATGATGGTTTAGTAACATTAAAAATGGCATAGATGTTAAAGGTTTGAGAATCACTTTCTATAAAAACTAGGTAACAGTATTTTTTATTTCAACTAGATTTACTCCCTGAGGATCCAGCATTGTTTGATATGTGCTGTAGGTCATCTGCCCATGTGTAGGCAGGGGTGTTTTTATGTTCTGAAAATGTCAATTTAAATAATAAAACATAATTATACCATGATATAAAATAAAATAATAAAATATCTTTCAAACCTAAGGGGCTCTACAGTAGATAAATAAATGTTAGCGTTATACAGGTAATGCATTATTGTGTGAGTATTATAATTTATTATAAAATTAATTATAAAGCTAATGGAGTATGAAGTCAGCTCTATGACCTTTTATTTACCCGGCTAGAGTCAGCTTAAGGCGTTTAAGGTAATCTTAAGGACTTTAGACCTGAAAGTATCTTGACTTTCTGGTTTGTACACGTAAGCTTAACCATGCTGTGTTATAATGGTACTTAAGAGATCAAAGATTTTTTAAACCATATTTTTTTTAAGTAGACTTACAAAGAATATAAATAAACCCCTTTTTTTGCTAAGATTAAATTTTAGCAATTAATATAGCAATTAAATGTGTTCAATCATTAACAAAAAGTGATATTTCAAAATGGCTTGCCTGGCACTTGGTATGTTGGACATGAGTAAATGCTTTGAGCGCCATCTACTCTGATAGTCTCCCCTGTGATAAATTTAGCACCAGGCGATAGCAGGAAACATACAGCAGAAGATACCTAAATAGCAATTTTAAATTTTTAAATTTTTTTTTTTACTTTTAATTTTCTTAGCAACTAAACTGTTTTTAATGTATTAGATTAAACAAATGGAATACAATTAACTTTTTTAACACTACTAAATATAAATATTATAAATGTTATGCCAGGTACCCATTAGAACTGGGATGAATCAAAGACATCCTTAACATCTAAGTCACAAGAAATATTGTAAAAGACATGTAACCATCAATGAAACTTGTAGCACAGTGATGATTTCTTTACATCAGTGACTATTATTTAATCAGTGGCTAGACAGATAAATGACCATGTCCCCATTCCAGATGCCACAAATAAATGGCAATGTACAGAGGCCTCATATAAATGTCCTCTCACAAAATGGTCAAGTCCCAAAGGCAGACTACTATATCTGATGTAAAAATTGTCAATTATAGAAAAATATAAGTTGATTTGAGATAAATTTGTTATGTTAAAAATTACAAATTAGGAAGTAATAATTCTACCCACTTCTTCTACTGTACCTAGTCGGTGCATTGGAATTGTTGACTTTGTTTTCTCAAAAATATTAAAGTTACCATAATTGGCTGCAGCTGTTTCAGAATATATGGAGCTTCCCTGAATCAAATAACAGTCAACTTAGGATTTGATACACATACATTCTATAAATAAATTACTTTAATTTTTTTAGAAAGAGACCAGAAAGATTTAGCAAATTTATATCTTATTTTATTAAAACCTAATATAAATCTACTGTTATTTTTTTTAGGTTTATATTCTGGATTACCAATATCAAAAACCATATTAAATTATTTCTATTACTGGTGCACTTCAAAGAGTGGATATTTTTTGTCACAAAACAGGGTTTAATATTTTTTTATAGTTATCTTACAGGAGCAACACTGTTGACGCGCACGCCACTGTGAACCCACTCCAGTGAGAGTGTCTTGGTTAGGTTATCTACAGCAGATCTTGCTGCTCCTGTATGACTGAGAGATATACAGATAACATATGCTTTTCTACCTTCAACATGACTAGAGTGAAAAGAAACACTTTTAAAACTGTTAATGAAAAAAAATGTTAAGTAACACTATGGAGTTGTTTAAGAAATCTGTCATGGACTACTATTTAGGTAAATAAATGTACCTCATTAAAGGAAAACCTTTCCACATGTCTGCTATAATGTTTACTATAGTCCCTCCATGTTCATTCATCCATTGGTTATAAACTACACACATAGTAGAAAAAGGTTACAAAATTTTGATTTGAAATAATTGAAAGATAACAATTAAAATGGACAATGTTGGTACTTCTGAGAATGTTTATCGTCACATTACAAGTAACACAAATTCCTAGCAGTTATCTCAAATACAAACTTCAAAATTTGCTGACCTTCTCGACACATTAAAAAAGTGCCTGTCAAGTTGGTTTCTATAACAGCATTCCATCCCTTTAGTTTAATGTCCTCTGCCCTGCTTAAGAACTGCCCGCCTCCATTGTTGACTAGAAAATCTAATTTCCCAAAGTGTTTTAATGTACCTGAAACAAGGCTTTTTACCTGCAGATACAGAACAACATTGTTACAGATGGTTTTGTATGATGTCGATTAATCTTTAAAATTTGGAGTTCCTATTTTGGATAAAGGTTAAGTTTAACAGATAAGTTTGGTGAGGAGATGTCAATGGGATGGTGTGGTCTAAGCAGTAGAGCGCTAGGCTTCTAACCCAAAAGTCTCGAGTTAAAATCCAGGTACAAGTTAGTAGTCTATTCCCGAATCCATCCAGCTCTAATGGGTACATAACTCAAGTTAGGGAAAGTAATGGCGGTTGGGCAAAGTACTGACAACACCTTCTCTTCATATGCTGAGGTCAAGAAACATAAACTCTACTTCATCTGCCAAATGGATCATTAGGTCTAAAGAGGATTTTTACTTTTTTTTTATACTATTCTGATAATACTCTTTTATAGATTAAATCATACGTTTACATTTGGGTAAGAAAGCCTATTATTTTAGGTGACGCTAGTTTGAGGCACCAAAATATTTTTAATGTTAAGCACTATTTATATAAGTTTTTTTATATTATAAGCAATGTTCTCTCCTAAGGGGGAAAAGCTAATGTGCAAAATGTATTTTCTGTGCGCGGTGTTGTAAAAATCTTATACAATGATATATTTATTTTACAAAATCACTGTGAGGCAGCTCAAAACTTCTGCGCGGCCGCGCAACCACGCAGCTTAGAGGGAACATTGATTATAAGCCTTATCAAGACTCACATCTTCTTCCTCTCTGATGTTACATTTCATGAACTGCAAATCTACATTTTGATTGGACTCTTTCAACCATTCTCTCAGCTTATTGGTAGCATTTTCCAAGTTGTCCACTTTTCTGGAAGCGATCATTACATTACAGCCTAGATGTTAAAGAGAACAAATCAGTAGCAGTAAAACTAATGTTGAAACTTCATAACTAAATGTACTATATTATCATAATATTATTTTGCAATAGAAAATACAAGGCACACAATAATATTAAGATAATATTAGGCCCTATTATTATTTTTTTGGTGTATGTGTTATACCAGTGTCCGATAAAAAAAAAAACATTAAAAATATATATATATAGGGTTAAGGTTAGAATATTGCCTGGGCAGTAGGCTCACATTACAACACATATCAGCCCCCCTCACTTAACAGAGCTGATGAACCCAAGCCCAACGGACAGGACGTTAGTCGACGTTACCTATGCAGCTTGAAGTTGAAATTACTAGAAGTGTTGGAGGAAACCAGAGTTGGTAAGCAAGCCTGCCTCAAGATGTGTACTTACTTACTAGTAACTACTTTAGCCTAACAGACACAGTCTTGACTCTTACTTCATTCAACTGACTTAAGAAGACTAACACTAACAACAGTAACTAGATCTAGTTACTAACTAGAATCTTAGATCTAGATTTACTGATTTAGTAGTACCACAAGAAGAAGACTTAACAAAAGAAAGAAAGTGTTCTAATAACTAACATATTTTAAACATGAATAGGTCTAATTAAAACTGTGAAATACATTTTCTACCTAGGTATAAAAGTTCTTGTGTTATCCCTTTGCCAATTCCTGTACCTCCTCCTGTTACAATAGCTACTTTGTTTTTAAATAACTCACGACGAAATACGCTACTGACTGCTCGCTTTACAGTGGACGCCGCCATTTTTACGAATATTATGATCACATGACCTGAGTAGTCCTATAAATAACGTTTACTGACCTCCGACAATTTTAAACACATTTCAATTTAATTTTTACTTTTACTTACCAAATGGGTGAATATTAGGTCTACTCAGTGTGTTGTGATGTGTATGTCTAATGGAGTCAGGTGTTGTGTATTGATTTGTTGTGGGTCGTGGTGTGAGGTTTGGGTTGTGCTGTGGTGTATTGGGATGGGTCGTCTTGGTATTGGGGAGTGTGAAGGGTGGTGTAGGGATTCGGTTAGGGGTAATTCATAAATTACGTCACGCTTTTTTTTACGATTTTTACCTCCCCCCCCCCTCCCCTCCGTCACACACCGTCACAAAACGCCAGACCCCCCCCCTAAAATGACGTCACACCTCGGCCTACAACCCCCCCCCCCCTCAAAATTGCAGTTGATTTTTTTTTTTTTAACATTGATATGTTTCCAAAATCTTGTCTGAACTCTGTCAAAATAGTCTTTTAATCAATTCCTATTACAATTTATTAAAACAGTTTTCTAAAATGCGAAATAACTTCTAAAATTCGATTTCTAACATTGCTTTTTTATAATGCAAAAGTGTGACGTCGCACCATCTGAACCCCCCTCCCCTCATCACAGATCGTCACAAAATTACGCCCCCCTCCCCCCTATGAGTGTGACGTCATTTATGGACGACCCCTTACATAATAATGGTTAGAAATGTGGTTTATGATGTCACGCGGGTTGGGATGGGAGTCATACCTCAGCCTACCCCCCCCCCCCCCCACACCTTCAAAATAGTATTTTTTAAAGCATCGGTTTCTATCTAAATTCATTTACTTAACTCGGTTAACTTTGAGTATATTAATAAATTTCTATTACAATTTACAAAAAAAAAACTTTCTAAAACGCAAATTAAAGTGGGTGTTTTTTTTTTTTTAGCGTTTAACACTTCTTTTAAAAAATGCTGCTGTGTGAGATGACATCACACTCTCTGGCAGTGTTTCTTCCAGACTATTTTCTCCGGGGGGGCACTTGAAATCTTCGGGGGGGGGGCGGTAAACTTTCTTCGGGGGGGGGGGGGGGCGGACACTGTTAAAAGTATATATTTTCTATATAAATTATATAAATTTCATTTCGTTCGGGGGGGGCGGTAAAAAATTTTCGGGGGGGCTTCGCCCCCCCCCCCCCCCCGAAGAGATGCCTGGAAGAAACTCTGCTCTCTGACCAACCGCCCCTTCCCCTCGTCACACATCTTCACAAAATTCCAAAAATACTGACTGTGTCTTGAAATAAGTTTAAATTATATTCGAAACGTTTTGTCTTGAAATATTTTTGTCGGGAGATAGACATATGAAATACTTTGTCTCTAATTAAATTTCTGTTGAAGTATTTGGTCTTTGAGGTGTTTAGTTTATCTTAAGATATTTTGGCTTTACTAATTATTTTTAGAAATGATATTTGAATTTTTAAATATTTTGTTTTAAATATGTTGGGTTGTTTGTTTTTTTTTTTCAATAATTCTAGTTCTACAGTTTTGAGCTACTTTGATATTGAGATATAGTTTGTGCAATTACTCTTTAAGATATTTTGACTTCAGTTATTTGTATTGACGTAACCTATTTGAATTTGAAATATTTTGCCTTTAAAAATTTTTTTAATATTTCAACCTCGTGCTTCAGTCTTTGAGCCACTATGACCTTGAGGTATAGTTTGTGCAGTTACCCCAAGGAGTTTTGCTGTCACAGTTTTCATGAAAAGATTTATTTCGGTCAGACACGTGACGGTATCAATCATATCATGATACCACAGCCAACAACCTCCGCAACAAGCCCGAACAGCTGCTACAGAGATCCAGAAAATAACCTGGTTAAAAGACACCTTAAAATGGGATTGGATGTTATGTAATTGTTTTGTAGATTTCATGTTACGTGTCCTATTTCACAGTCTTTTTTAGGTCGTAGGCAATAAAATACAAAGCTTCATCGTGCATAACAAAAAAAAACTTGACGTAAAATATATCATATAGTTAAGATAAGATCATCATTAGCGTGATGGTTATGTGACACTAGGCTATTGTATGAGGACATCATGTTGTTAGCGTGGATAATGGCAACACGGTGTACAGTTACATGACTGCTGTGCTCGTTATTCTAGTGACTGGTGCTGTACTGTTGATTCTTGATGTGGTACTCCTGTATGAGAAGAGGAACTGTCCGCTCAATTTTGTTGATCCTTGGGGTTAACAATAAGGTACGGTTTGAATCGAAGTCTTTAGAGTATTCTGATGTTTTGTGAGGCAGGGGTGTCAATGGTGTCACCCGGTGGTGTTTTTGAAGGTGTCACCCGGGGGTTAATGAAGGTTTCGCCCAGTGGGGATTTAATGATGGTGCCACCCAGTCGTGTTTTTGAAGGTGTCACCCGGTGGCATCTTATGTTTGGTGTTACCCCTCTTTCCTACTATTTTATTATTTTATAGTAAAAAAAAATTTGGTCAGTAAATTTTAAGTTTTTCAATGTGGTGTCACCCCCTAAATACTGTTAACCTGTGCTGACCGCACCCACGCATTCTGGCCATTCAACCAATCGCTACAACTATACACAAAACGGAGGGTACCTGTCGCGCACAACACACACAATCAGGGGACATGTAAGGAACGTAACACTAATCTTTACCCATCACATTTTAAATATTTATTTTGATTTGGCTTATGATGTTTTTCTTTACCTGGCCAGCCAAGGTTAACTAAAAAGGCGGTTCCTCATAATATTTGGGATGATAAATAATTCCAAAATTATTTATAACTAGGCATACTGCCTAGCTTCGCTTAGGTTTTCAAAAACATTTGATAATTTGAATACTAATTATTTGGTGATGGATGAGGTGTGGAGTGCTTAAATTTAAACAGTAATGCTAATTTTAGTTTGTTTTTTTTTCCAGAAAATATACTTTAATAACAGGTTCTACAGATATTTAGAGTATATTTGCTTGCAACAATGCAATGAAAAAGCAGCACCAAATTTAAAAACCAGACAACATGATAAAAATAACAAAGTATTGTTTTTATGTAAATTTAAAGATTTTATCTGGAAGTAAACAAAAAGTGGAGCTAGTCATTGGACATCTTTTATGTCTGAAGTAATTGTGAAGTTTGTGTTTCGTCTAGGTTGAGTATCACAATTTTCTTTAAAACTAGTAGCCCATTCATTCACAGTTCTATTGCTGTTTGCATTCATTAGGTTTGCCTTGGGCATCAGGGTTGAAATCTGCATCTGCTTCTTCATCATATTCTTCATCTTCACCTTCCTCATTTTCATCATCCTCATAATCATCATTGTCTATGGCCTCTCCAGTGAAAACAAGTTAATTAAAAAGTCTAGTGACATTTAAGCGCAATTTCCTTATGTTATCTAAAAATAGCTCTGTCGTAGCGTAAATCAAGAGCAGGGTTAGTAAAACCATTGGTTAGTTATTAAAACGTTTTTTTTTTAAATTTCTTTTCAGTATTTTACATGTTTTATTTACAATAGAGTTACATGACTAAAAACCATTGCGCGCCTAGCTACTGAACGTGATGACGCAGCCATTGAACGTGATGGCGCAGCTATTGAACGTGATGACGCGTGTGGTGTGGTTGGAAAAAATGCCTACTAATTCGGTCCAAATTTTAATTAAATAAAAAAAAATTTTGTGACCGAACGAAAGGATATTTTTGAAAACTTTCTTCGGCAATATTGTTCTAAATTATGGCAGAAATCGATTGGTACATGTTTCAAGTCGCTAAGTGGTCTGGTTGCCGAGATATGGGCAAAAAACTGCATTTTTTCGAGGTTTTTTGGCTTTTCCGGTAAATCCATGAAAGAAACCCGGAATTTTTATGGCCTATGCTGATCCTCGTAACTTGCTTAACATAATTGCTTTTGGAACTAGTCATCGATATTGCTTCGTTGAGGAGGAGATACGACTTAAAGCTGCGGACACACATTCATCCATTCATCCATCCATCCAGAAATGACGGGTTAATAAACGCAATTCTCCAGAATGGAAATTGCGCTAAAAAGAACTGCCCTAGGCACTATCCTCTCTCTTATAAAATGGCCAATCTCAAAATCAGCACCCAATAAGGCCTCTACTTCTTCATCCATCTCTGACTCTGAACCTTCAGGAACTGCAGGTGGGTTAAAGAAATTAAAGAAAGAATCTGCTTGAACTTGTTTTGTAACAGTTCTTGTTAAACCTCTTCCTTTATGTTTTTGTTTCTTTTTTATCTGTTTCACAGTGACATTCTTCCCTTTGATCCAGTTAATATTGCACCCAGTGCACTTAATGATTTCTGGACCCTCATAAGAAAATGGATCTTGAGGGTCTGGTTCATAGCGCATTTCATAATGTTTAATTAGTACTGGGTCTGTAAAGTATTCATTGGGCTCAAAATGAAATTCTAATGTGAAACCTACAGGGTCTTTATCATGTATAATAACTTTGATGTCTTGTAAATGTGTCAAAATTGGTTCATCATGTTCCTGTACCATTTCAGAAAGCATATCTACATTCTTGAATATTGTTAACCAAAAACTGGGAGTACCTTTAACATCCTCTTGTTTTTTCTCCTCACTATCCCCTCCGGCTTCTTTGGCACCCTCAATACAAAGCTTATCTTTTAGTTCTCCGGTTATTTTTCCTACCTCATCCTTTTCATCATCTTCTTCTTCCTCACTGGGCCAATCGCATTCCTCATCAGTGGGCTCTCTACTAGCAGTTAAGATCTCTTTTCTCTTTTCAAACAACTGTGAGTACTTTGGTGCATATTTCAATTCCAAGGCATTGAACTCTTTATAAAATTCAGCTTCAACATTAATAACCTCATTCTGTAGCTTTTTAAGAGCCTTGATACGTCGTTTGACCTCCATGGGTAAACTCTGAATATAACCAGACGGAGAACCAACAATAGAACACAGCTTATCTTGAAGTGCTGCTAAGACACCAGGGTTTTTCATCA